TGACATATCACACATAAAATAACATATCACATACATATTATGTATTATGTTGAACTATGTTGAAATGTAATTGACAGCTTATTTAAGTTTTACTGTCATAATTGCTTTGCAAGTCTATAGGAGTCTTCTAAGTGAGAATTTGTTTAGGATCGTCTCTTGTAGCTTTTGACAATTATGCCCCTTCCAAACAATGTAGATTTTAGATTTTAAAACAGCCATCTGTATTTTGTATCAACATAAGCATTCAAAATACAGCTGCTTGCTGTGTGATCTGGAATTTGCTTTTACTATTTTTCAGTTTTACAACTATATAATAAAAGTCATTTTCATTGTTCACTTTTAGAGTGCATAAAGTTGAATACCACTAAATGTACTATACAGGCCAATGTCAGTCTTTTTATTCCTTGAAAAACTTCTAATTCATCATGCATGTTCCTGCAGTATGATACCATCTGAAATTCAGTTATAGATATTTCTTGATTCTGTTTTAATAATGAAGCTGGCTTTCTCTACACTGATGCTACTTTTGACTCCCAGAATTTTCACCAGCACAAAGTTTTGCAAACTTTAGAGAGACAAATATGTGCAGAACTTAAATTTACATAAGCAACAGCATGAATATATCATATTGTACTGAAATTTGAAAATTAGGAACTGGCCATTTGTGTTAAAATTTAATTATGGCAAACGTTAATGCTTTACAGTATTTTGCATAGAGCAATGCAGTTCATTTATCTGCATTGAGCAGTGATTTAAATTCATCTCGATATATCTTTGAGTTGTGACATACATTCATCTCAATATGACAGCTTTGAGCATTGACATACATTCATCTCAATATGACAGCTTTGAGCATTGACATACATTCATCTGAATATGACAGCTTTGAGCATTGACATACATTCATCTGAATATGATAGTTTTGAGCATTGACCTACATTCATCTCAGTAGGACTGCTTTGAGCAATGCAGTGCATTTCTCACTCAATATGACATCTAGGAGCAATGCCATGCAGTCATCACAACAGGACTGCTTTGAGAAATGCCATGCATTTATCTCAAAATATGACAACATCTTGGCTTTTTGGATTGGTATGGTGAAATGTTGCATTTCCGAACTTGGTTATAAATAGATCCAACTGCAAACAACTGATATTGATTTGCCAGCAGATCAGGGTATATGTTGAATGCTCCACTGATTTCTCCTAATTGCATAGGTCAGCTGCATATTATGTGATGACAGTTCTGGGTCTATGAAGTTGGTGCCTACTTAAAAGCAAGTAATTATAGACAGTATGTTGACTTGAAATTACAAATACTGCCAGTATAGACAGTATGCTGACATGAAATTACAAATACTGCCAGTATAGACAGTATGTTGACATGAAATTACAAATACTGCCAGTATATACAGTATGTTGACATGAAATTACAAATACTGCCAGTATAGACAGTATGTTGAAATGAAATTACAAATACTGCCAGAATATACAGAATGTTGACTTTAAATTACAAATACTGTGTTTTATTCAGCATCAGATTTTGTTATACATTGTATGCAGTAAGATGTATGCTAAAATTGGGCAGATGTGGTACTTATTTTAAAACTATTTTCTTTTGTGCAGAGGAGATGCACTCAATCTGTAGAAACGTAAACAGCACAGTAGTTATATCAAAAATATTGACCAGTCAGACAGTTGTCTACACTTTAATAAATGCTTACTACATATCTCTGTAGTATCTGCTGATGCATGTGTCAGCTGATGGGAAACAATCTATATACATTTAGTGTGTCAGCTGATGGGAAACACAATCTATATACATTTAGTGTGTCAGCTGATGGGAAACACAATCTATATACATTTAGTGTGTCAGCTGATGGGAAACACAATCTATATACATTTAGTGTGTCAACTGATGGGAAATACAATCTAAATACATTATGTGTCTGTTGAGGGAAAACCCAAATTAAATACATTACATTGTGTGCTGATGGAAACCCCAATCCAAATATATTGCAAGTGTCAGCTGATGGGAAACAATCTAAATACATTTTAAACTCCTTGCATGCCATCATTTTTGTTGCAATAAAACTATTGCTGAAAACTGAGACAGTTTGAATATCTCAAGTATTGGTAATTTGCATAGTATCTTTATAAATTATCATTAAATAGAAGTAGTGTGCAAATAAGTATGGACTTTAAGTAAATGTGCCTTGAATCAGAATCAGGTTAACTTGAATGCTAATTTGACATGCTGATATGCTGCAAACATTAGATTCATTATGTACAAAATCCTGGCAGATTTTGATTACAACCTGTGTGGTTTGCAAATTATGGATTTAAAATTCAGAGACAGTTTTGATGATTCTAATTATGGATTTAAATGTGGAGAGTTTTGATGATCCAAATTATGGATTTAAAATACGGTGACAGTTTTGAGGATCCTAATTATGCATTGTTTATATTGTCCTTTAATATGTGAAATCCCATGTCACTGCTTTGTTGTATTATTCTAAAAAAATAGTCTAGAAATTACTTTAAAAATATGAAACCAAAGGTAAAAAGAAGCCACCTTTTACCAAAATCAAATGATATTTTCCAGTAGTTTTATAGTCTTTATTTTTTTGTATACCAGGTATAGAGTTATATATATTACACAACTATATATTATAGCTTGTTTTGATTCTGCATTTGTATTTGTCATGAGCTATTCTTGCATATAGCTTACTATTATAAACATGTATTGCAATTTTTTTTCACAAATAAATCTAGAAACGATGTTCAGTGTTTTGTTATGTTTACCATAGTGAATAATCAAGAAAATTAACCAATCAGCATTCAGCTATATATCAAACTATCAATTGGATTGATCATGTGATAAATGGAAGGGAAAGTGAACTCTTGAACACGTATGCAGAGGTAAAGCCTTTCTCGAATGATTTTAAAATGCAACTTCCTACCAGTAATGTCCACATTATATAAATGATCAGAGTGTATACCATTGATACAACTATGGCACAGTGACGCTACTTGTGGTGTACTACCATAGAAATTGTTTTTTATTTCTCTGCAAATTTTGAAAAAAAGGCAGTTGAACAGGTATTATATAATTGTTTGCCAACTTGTACATACACACACACACAATTATATCCAGGATGGATATATTATATTTGGGATAGAAAATTCTGTTATTGCAAACATTTAATTGCTGACCTTCTAAAGCAGACAATATGGGGTCATCTGTTCTGGCCATTCCTGCCTTGCTAGCACTAAAAAATACTAACATTCATTCGTTCAACCTTTATTTTGTGTTTAACACCAAACACAATACAGACTTTGTTAGCACTTTGTGTTTTCACTTTGTTATCTTGTCATTTATGTAATTAACTTTGGCAGCTTTATGCCCTAGAAAAATGAATCTATAGATCATGAAAGTACTTGGGCCAATTTTGCACTAGTTTTGCACTGTAGTTTGTCAGTTTCATTATACTGTCCCAGATATTATGATTATACTGTGGCTGTATTACCAGTAGCTGCACTTCTGAGGAAAAACGAATACCACCAACATGTCAGCCGATTTACAAATGGTATGCAGTTAACCACTTAATGAATGCCTTTCATATGAAGCATCTTGGATGGGTTGCCATTCATGATATACATTGCTAAAAGTCAAAATGAGGCTATCAATGCTGGGTGAATGTTATTTATATTGACTTGAAAGTAGAGTCTGAAAAATATCATTACATGATGAATATGTACTTAGTGTTGATAAACAAATACAATCATTCAGTTTATATAGAAAAACTTACCAAAAAATAACATACATCCAAGCAAACGAAAAATCTCAAAATTGGTTTTATGCTAATAGTTTGTTTTAAAATGTGTTCATCTTCTTTTGCACAATACCAATATAAGCAAGTTCTTTTTAAGTTTTAATTATATTTGTCAAATCATGCTTAGAAGTATGTACCGTTTAGCTATCAAAGCCTGTTTAGGGATATTTAAATAAACTGTAACCTAAATCCATGGGAAAACAATCACTATCAGATTCAGCACCCCCTCATACCACCCAACCCTTTCTGTTGAACTTAAATTTAAAAATAAAATTTCCCTTAATCCTATTACCAATTTTAGTCTGTAGTGAAATGTACTAGTCTCTGACTAATGTTAGTTTCAAACCCTGAAAACATCTTCAGACCTGGATCTAAGCTGACAATTGTCTGAACAATTTTAATTTCAGTATTGTAATTTAAAATGTTATTTCTATAGCTTTGGTAATTTAATTTAATATAAGCATTACAGTTTCTGGAAAAAGTAATTTCAAATAACAATATTCTCTAGTTTTGGTATTTTCATATCAAAGAACATGATTGTTTTGGTATTTTAACTAAAACATTGCTCTATAGTTTCCTGAAAAAGAAATTTCAAATAATATTCCATAGTTTTGATATTTTAATATCAAATAACATTCATTGTTTTTATTATTTTAATTAAAATAATAGTCTCTATCTTTTCCCTTTTCCTGCAAATCTGGTCATAGGTACACAACACCAGCATAGCTGTTTATCTGCTGACACTAATAAATTTTAAGATTCTTGTAATTGTTTGATGATTAAATCTGTAGGATATAATTGATATACTTCTCACATTTTGACATTTTGATTGATTGTAATTCTCCCAGCATTGAGCACATCATTTTGGAATTTTGAGATTTTATGAGATAACCCAAGAGTGTTATTTGCAGATATTGTGAAAATGGCTCATTAGATTCTCTGAAATTCAAATTATCATAACAGGTACATTTGTACCATAAAAAGATATTGGATCTAACTGGCTCCTATTATTGTGCATTTTGTTTAAAAAAAAAAAAACATGATAAAACTAGCTAAATAAAGGATCTGACTTGTGACAAAATTTGTTAAAATTGCTAAAAAATGTTTTTTATTGCAACACATTTTTTTTCTACATGGTTTAACACTAATATTTTTGACCGCTCCGGTGGCCTAGTGGTTAGAGCATCTGCCTTGGATGTGGGAGGTTGTGGGTTCAATCCACTGCAGACAAGTCATACCAAAGACTTACAAAAATGGTACTAAAAGCTTTCTCGCTTGGCATTCAGCATGAGATAGTGTTAGGACTGGTCAGCCTGGTGCCAGGATAATGTGTCTGCGGCATGATGCCCCAGTGCTAAACATCACTATAAACTGCCTGACTTCAAACATTGTAGCGATATGAATGAAAAATTGTTAAAGCTACAATAAAAATCCAAAACACACCTACAAACACTAATATTTTCTTTACTTAAAGTTTTTTTCTGTAAATTATTGCCTGTAAGTATATTCCTTAAACAGTTTTAAAAATTTGGAAAACCAGTACATGATATGCATAATTATTTTGACACCTACCTCTTATTGTATAGCTGTTTAAATCTGCAAAATACCTAATCATTGACCCAGTGATCACCAGGCATAATTTTTTATACATACCTATTACTGCATAACCACTGCAATCTGCATATGCAGATCATGCATTCATGATCTAGTTTTCATTTGTCATGTTTTATATCAATGCATATCACAAGAGTTGATTTTATCTTTTGCTGACTCTTGGAGCACATGTAGACTTCCCTTGTAGTTGTTGTTCTGGGGCTTAACCTTAATGCCATTTTTCAGCACATGATAGGCAGACAGCAGTGAGATGGCAAAGATCCATAAGGGTGCTTTAGACCACTTGGCCACTCTGGCTTCTTGTAACATAGACCATCTTTGGGTGACCTGTTTGTTGTTGTTGTAGTAGGGTTTAACACCATTTTTGAGCACATGATAGGCTATACATGACCAGTATTAATGGTGGAGGAATAACCCTGGAAAACCCTGGGAAGAACCACTAACCCACGAGAAGCTACTGGCAGGCTTTCTCACTTACCCACGTTAGCTAGTCTAGACTTGAACTCACCCAGAGGTGAGATGGCAGTGATCCGTAACTGACATTGCTTTAGAAAACTCTGCCACATGGGGCCCCCCTTACCTGTTTGCAATTCTTCTCTAAATGTAAAGTATATATTCATGTGTTCCTGACCATGATCAGAATAACAACCAGTGTCTGTATGTGAACAAAAAATGTGGCATATCAATACTTAGCATGCTCGATGACTTGCTCTTGTCCACTTCGGCTTCAAAGATGATGCGAGTCCTCAACATGAGATGATCCTCAAGAACACTGATCTCATTGCAAGAAAACTTATTTCATCGTAAGAATATTCTTCTATTGTCTTACCCATGGGTATTCACTGTCTGCTTTGGTAATGTTCAAAGACTACTGGACTTAATACATATTCAGACCTCTCAATGTTTACAAAGGGTATTTGTAGTAAAAGACCAAATAGTTTTATCAAAGATGTAATTTTAGGTAATAATGTGTAAGATGTCTCCTTCGCTATCTGTTTATAAAATCAGTTAAAATTTACTATAACCATGGTTTTCATAATGTGGCTCCTGCTTGTTAATAAATAAATAAATGTATTGTGTTATTGTTAAAAAGAAATCAAGTGTCTCAATTTCAAGCATTCTTCCCTCCATTAGGCATTATACAAGTAAACTCCTCCTCACATTGTACAATAATGTATTTTGTACACTGATATAGTATTCTCTGGACTGAGTTCAGTCATTACATATTCCCCTACTTAGTCATTAGGCAAGAAGTTGATTCATCCCTAATACTGTACACTGATGTATTTGTACACTGAAGTAATAATCCCTAGACCAAGGTCAGTCCTTACTCATTTTTAGCCATTAGGCAAAGAGTCACCTCTTCCCTGGTGTACACTAATGTATTTGTACACTGAAGTAATAATCCCTAGACCAAGGTCAGTCCTTACTCATTTTCAGCCATTAGGCAAAGAGTCACCTCTTCCCTGGTGTACAATGATGTATTTGTACACTGAAGTAATAATCCCTAGACCAAGGTCAGTCCTTACATACTCATTTTTAGCCATTAGGCAAAGAGTCACCTCTTCCCTGGTGTACACTAATGTATTTGTACACTGAAGTAATAATCCTTAGTCCAAGGTCAGTCCTTACTCATTTTTAGCCATTAGGCAAAGAGTCACCTCTTCCCTGGTGTACACTGATGTATTTGTACACTGAAGTAATAATCCCTAGACCAAGGTCAGTCCTTACTCATTTTTAGCCACTAGGCAAAGAGTCACCTCTTCTCTGGTGTACACTGATGTATTTGTACACTGAAGTAATAATCCCTAGACCAAGGTCAGTCCTTACATACTCATTTTTAGCTATTAGGCAAAGAGTCACCTCTTCCCTGGTGTACACTGATGTATTTAGTACACTGATGTGGTATTCTCTATCCTGTGCTTAGTCCTTAAATCTCATCCTTCATTAGACAATAAGTCCACTCATCCCTGGTATTGTACATTGGTATCTTTCTGGACTGAACTCAGCTCATATATGAGAATGATTATTGTTACCATAGTAAGAAAAACCGTGATTGCCATGTTGCAATAATGTATTTCAAAGTTTGAAAATAGCATGCATTATATATAATTAAATTCCTGTAAAAATATATCCAATAGCATCAATTTAATGGGGCAGGAAGACAATAAGTGTTTCATCTTGTGTTTAACGGTCCTCTTTGTAGACTGTCAGCTCTAGCAGAGTATGATTGAATCAGAAAATTACTGACAAATAAGCAAAAACCACTATTTTCATAAGCACTCCACAAACTTTAGTAACAGTTCATACTCAAAAGCTAAAGTTCATATGCAAAACCCCAAATCAAAAGGTTTCTTTCAAACCCAATAAGTCATCCACAATCTTTGGTGAATATATGTTTAAGAAATTAAACTGTCTGTTATAAATCTATGGTCTTAAACTAAGTAATAAAAAAGAATGAAAACCAACAAGTTTTGGAAAATTCAACAAAATAAATTATCTCCCTTGAAGACAAAATTAAAATTTACAAAGAACCTGCAGTATTGTTTATTAAATCCCAAACAGTTCTAACAGTTCTATCACAAATACAAAATTAAAAACTGAACACAACAATAAGACCTATTCCACTTCAGCTGTTAGGGCTTGAATGAGTAATTTTTCAAGTAGTAAACAACATTGGTATAAAAAAACTAAGACATTAATAGAACCAGCTCCTTCATAAAACATTCAAAGTTGTCAACAATGTTTGGAATTTCCAAAAAGAAAGACTTAATGTTCTAGACTATGATTCAAGTAAACATGTTTATCTCCATTAATAATGATCTGAATATTTAATGTATAATCATAAAGAAATATTGGCTATGTACATGTTGTTTACAAAATAAATGTCACTAATCAGATACACCATTAACTTGACTTTAGACAAAGGTCAATTACAAACTACAGTTATACACAAAATATAATAAGAAAAGACAACAAATAATACAAATTAAATACATATAAAACTGCAGAAAAAAATTTTCTTTCTTCACTCTATGAACTTTACCTTTTGAACACAAAATTTAGATGCTATGTCCTTACACTGAGTTCAAGCCATCAACAAAGTACAGATCTGTGAGGGGCCCTGAGTGGTCTAAAGCACTCACCATTACTGATCACTGCTATCTCACCCACAAGAAGCTTTTGGAATGTTTTCCCACATACCCACATTGGCCAAACCCAAGACTTGAACCCACACAGACAGAGGTGAGATGGCAGTGATCCGTAACAATGAGCACTTTAGATCACTTGGCCACTTGGTGCCCCTCTCACTAAGGTTGATTTATGTGTGAGATATAAAGCTTTCTAATTATGTATAGGGGTTATTGTATGCTTTTTCCTTTTACATGTAAACTCATTTTGCATTTATTATCAACAGCTCCAACACAAGTTTAACAATTTCTTGTCTGTTTTAGTTAATGGCATATGTTTGCTGGATGTAGTTTGATCAGTGTCTATACATATAGCCAGAGATAGACAGTTTCTAGCAAGAATCATCATCAACAACAGTATGTATACACAATGAACAAACTACCATAGTTTACAAACAGAAAGTAAAACAAACACCAGAAATGCAAACAGAATTCTTTATATGTAAACATTATCATGCATGTTCTAAATTAATAAGCAAGGATCTGCCTCCCTTTGAAGACACTTGTTTGAATACACTGCTATGACAATTAAGATATTTATTTCCTAGAAAATACTTGGGAAACTTAATGATTCTCATCAGTACATGAATTGTCTGATGAGAGAAGAAAGCAATTAATTTTTAGTGTCTTGGTCAGTGATGGTAGTACTGCTATTTTATTTTGGAGAAATAGGAGTTAAGTGCCTTTTTCAAGAACATACCTTGGCAGGCTGCATGGATTGGCTAAGCATGTTATCTGCCACCCAATCCATCTTCATCTATAAAATCAGCTATACCAAGTTATTATACAAATATTCAATAACAATTCATGTATCTGAAATTCACAGGTTCAGTAAATAATTAAAGCATATAAAATACAAAAGCTCAGCAAATAATGCATTTGAAGCACACAAGTTCAGCAAATAATTTGTACAAAATGTCCAGTTAAAATTCTAATCATTTTTCTTTGCACCACAATGTCTTAGACCTCTGGCCTCAAAATCAATAGGTCTCTTCTATTCATTAAGTGCAAGCCCTTCAAAAACTTTGCAGTATTTAATCTAAAACAAAAGTTATGCAAAGTTCTTTCAATAAAATGTATCTTTAACTTTGACCTTGTAACTTCCAATGAATAAATTACTTTCTTAGTCACTATATCAGTCCTCTACACCTTTTTGGTGAAAACATATAATCAAATGCTGGCATCGATTTGCAGAGAAAATTTTTCTTCATATAGCCCCAGTGACCTTGACTGCAGACCTCTCACCTTTTGACCACAAAAGTATCACCTTTGTATCCTAACCCGAAATACAAACCAGCTACAAAGACTGGTATATGATGTAAATCTGTAAAATTTTACTGTGCAAAAGCTTTTTTCTTATTTCACTCACAGTGATGTTGATAATTTTGACAACAATAGCCATAAGATTCTTTTCTTTCTCAAGGT